ACCCATCCACCATGCATACCAGTTCTGAGAGGGCCGACTGTATTATTTTTTAAAATACTTTATTAGATGAAGTTTAATTTTATAACTAAAAACTATATTTATTTTTTTTACAATAATAAAAATTTATTTAAATATATATAATTATATAAAAATAATTTTAAATCTGCTAAAATTTAAGCAAAAATATCTTGACAACCACCAAGCCAAATTTAATAAACTTTTTTTTTAAAAAAATTCTATATATTTATAGAATTTGAATAAAAAGATATTAAATCTGGTTTAGTGATTTTCAAAATTTCTTTATTTAAAGTTAAAAAAATTTTAATATATTTTCTTTTTGATAGATTTAAAATTTTTTCAAATTTTGAATGAAGATATCTAAATAACCACCAAGACAAATTTTTTATTTAAATTTTACAAAATAGTAGAATTCAAATAAAAAATTTGTCAAGTTTTCACTTAATAGTTTTTATAATATTTTTACTGTATAATAATATAGGAAACAGAAACTAAAGTAAAATTGTATGGGATTTTTTGTGTTTAAAGATACTTGATAAAACTTTTTGAATTGACAAATTGGTTTTGTCAAATGAGAATACAGATGAAACATTGACGATTGACAAACCGGTGATGATTGATGAAACCATTGACGATTGACGAAACCATTGACAAAACTACTATTTATTATAAAAAATAAAAAATTACACTATAAAAGAGATAATATATAGCTTTATTTATTATCTTTTTAAACTTTATGACATATTTCTTAAGTGCAAAATTAATATATATATTTTTATGTATCATAGTTTTTTTCGTAAAACCCATCGGATATCTTCGGGTGATCAACACCTTGATTGACACTTTGATCGAGTAATGTCTGATGTGTTCATAAAAAAAAGAAAAAATAACCAATAAAAGTAGAAATAGGTAGATATGATAATGCAAATAAAATATTAACCTCATATAGATCAATTTGTTTCAATTATAAAAGGAAAAATAATTTCTTATGCTTCATTAATCGTCACGGGCTTCATCATGGTTTTCATCATTCGTCAATCGTCATTCAGAAAATTGCTTGACGAATGGTTTCGTCATTCGTCAGTGATGAAAGTTTCATTATTCGTCAGGCATCTTTAGTTGTGTTACACAAATATGCAAGTGAAGACAGTCAGAAAATTAAAAGTTACGATTTTGATATCTTTACAATAAAGACATCAAGAACGATACTTCTGAAACATCAAAAGAATAACTTTTGCTACGCTCCGGACAATTAAATATAATAATCCCGAATTAGTAATTTCAAATTAATAATTTAATAGGCAATTAATTTAATTGAATAAACTTTTAAGTTGCAGTTAGTTGAGTATAAATATAATATTCAATTTAAACATAATCAGCCTCATGTTAGCACACTTATAAAATTATGAAATATTAAATTGTCAAATTTGCATAAAATAGTCAATTAAATGTTTCACAGATTTAAAAGCATTATATATAGTCTCTTGATTATTTTTATGTTTATGTTCATGTTCATGCTTATGGTTATGCAGTTGCTCTTGCATCATTTTAATTAAAAAGTAAGCAAAAAACTATTAAAATTGATTCAGCTCATTTAATTGTCTATTCAGATCATTAATTCGAGATTATAACATTAGAAATTATTTTATTTAGGATTATATTCGAGATTACACGTATTATATTCGGGATATTTTTTTTTAGAGATGATGATTTTCGGGATTATGGTCGTTCAGGATTTTTATTTTTTGAGATTTTGCTTTCAAATTAATGAAGTGTCGAAATATTGCTTTTTCGAAATTTTGAGTTCCGGGATATAGTATAGTGTTTCAAATCTGATTAAAAATCCCGGTTGATCTGGGATTGAACCGAAACCGTTTCGAAACCGAAATTCGAATTGGATCTGGGAACAATCCGGGACCAATCCGCGAAATTTTTAGGTTCTCTAATTTAAAATTAGGCTCAATCCGGCTCAATTCGAATTTTCTGGGCAAAAACTGATCCGCGGTTGGGATCAGATCAAAATCCGATTCCGATCCGATCCGATCCGACTTTTTCGAACACTAAAATAGTACCATCGGAATTTATGTCTTCGAGATTTTTAACGATTCCTGTAAAAGCAATGCTTGGTGACCATTATCAATGATAAATTTTTGAAGAAAAGATAGTTTGTATCTCGTTGATTTGTTCATCGAAATGGTAACTCGATTAATTTATTTAATTTTGACTAATTAAAAATTTACCTACGATCAACTGAGTGATGTTCTTGAGAGCACCCTTAGTTAATACAGGTTTTGGCCACCAATTTCAAACAAATTAATAATCAAATTTGGACATAATTACGATCAAATTTGAACATAATAACAATCAATTTTAGACATTATAGCAATCAAATTTAGATATCAAAGCAATCAAATTTGAACATCGTAACTATTGAATTTGAACAGTATAATAATTAAATTCAGATAATAAAACTATCAAATTTAAACATCATAGCGATCAAATTTAGACAGCAATATCTCATGATTTGGTGATCTAAATCACATGGTTTTGGTACTATTCGATTTGTCTTATTAAGATGATTGCTGTGATGTCTAAAATTAATTGCTGTATGTTTGAAGTTGATCGTTATTATGTCTGAATTTGATTGTTAATTTGTTTGAAATTGGTAACCAAAACCTGTAATAGTTATTTATTCTAATTTTATCGTATAAGGTATTTAAAGTCTGTATGTACATCTAATTTCTTTTATCTACTGACAAAGGTTATGGGTTCAGTTGGGTGATCTTCCTGTTCTGACTTGATGGGTTCTTCTTCCGAGTCGTCATCCTCCCACTTTCATCATAGTGTTCCAAGTTGATTAAAATTTTCCAATCGATTAGTTGTCAACTTAGTTGCAACTAATAGTCACATGTTTTCGATAAATTTGATTGGCATAATAAATAATCACGTGTTTTCTGTATCATTTCGAACCATTCTGATTGGCTAAAAAATCCCACGCTTATGTAGATAATCAACCAACGATTAGTTGGTTAAAAAATTTCCAATCGATTAGTCAACTAATTGTCAACTAGTTGGTTTTTCAACTAACTATTTGGATCACTATTTCATTATAAATACCTTACACTACGTTGATTATATAATTCGACAAGCGAAGTATTTAGAATAAGCTATTCATTTTTATTTATTTTATTTTATTCCAGCGTGGATATCAATCGAAGTGTTGGGCTTTAAAGTCGAAAGAATTCATTTTAGTAAATAAAATAAACTATTTATAATTTTATTTAGTGGTCAGTTTTGTGATTTAAACTATTTATTTGATCATTCGTAACCACAAATTCGATTATTTAAGCACTCACTCATTTTCAAAATCGTTAACTTTTGAAACCCTACTTAAACTAAATTAGGATTATATACTGTAATTCTAATATTGTTAGCCATTTGAAAAATGCGATCTATTTTAAGAAATACTTCATTCTGAACCCATAAAATAAAAGTATTTAAGCTATTCATATTCAATTCTTGTTTTTGATTCATTTTGAGTATAATGATCATTTGTATTGCCATATCTTTCATTTTAGTGCCGCCAAGGGAAACCTGTCATCGGGCTTTCAATAATATTTTGTGTACAGTTAGCCGTCTAAGGAAAATCTATCATAATAATAGATTTTCTATAGATGGCTAACTGTACACAAAAATTATTGAAAATCTGATGACAGGTTTTCCCTTGGCGGCGCTCAGTTAAGATATCCAATTCTTTTTGAGTTTATTTAGCTTGTGAATACATGATTTTCGAGTGATAGTAATAAGAAATATACTCAGACCAGATCATAATCTGGTATTGAATGTAATGTTATACGAAAGTTAATTCAGTCACCCGAAGTAGCAATAATTGACCGATTAACAAATGTTATATGGGTCACCTTGATGACTCTTACACACGGGTAAAGATAGCTTAGAAACAAGTAAAAGTCAAAATCTGCATATATATACCGTATAAAATATAGTCTAATCCACACAATTAGCACTAAATATTACTATCTAATTCATAAAAGCAAACCATAATAATAGTGCATTAACTCTGATAGTAAACTAGAGTGAGAAATAAATGGATAAAAAAAAAACAACCCCAAAAATAAAACAAAAAATAAATAAAAATAAATACGTATAAATAAGAATTCGAATTAGGAAATAAATCAAGGTCTAATTCAAAGATGAACGTGAAGGCTATATATATATATAATTCAAAAAAAAAGGTATTCCTAGTACAAAGTAACATAAATTAGTGCGAAGCGACGAATCTACCATAATCGTTTCTGATAGCTCATTTAGGCAACTAATCAAATACTGACCTTAACACTATGTGATATCAATTAAATGAACTTTCGGTGAAATGCAATAAGGATATTCCGTGTAAATCTCGGATTTATAATTACCGTTTATGTTGTAGATTATTTTAATATGTTCCGCCACTGGCATCATGCTATGTGACAATTTACTAGAAATATACACCCACAACTAATCAATGGTACGTACACGTACAAAGTGAGCAGCGCTGATTTTCATGGTATTGGAGTGCGTATGTATGGTTGCACGGTACGCCTATGTTTGTCTGACGTGTAAAAATTTATATGAAGGATATTCAGAACACTAATATTCTCCCATTTTCTTAAAGGTCGGTGTTTCTCTATTTAGATAATTATTGACATTAATTAAGTTAATTAATGCGTAAAATACTACTCTTGAATATTCTATATTAGAATAATTGTCAAGTGAACAACAATTATATTAGGTTCTTTAACACAATTCAGTATATTAGATATCAAATATATAACGTATAACGTACGTACGTTATTGCATCCTAACTATAGATGCTGGTGAAATTAATTTCACCAATTTCACCAATTCACCACCAATTTCACCAATAGTGGTGAAATTATTTCACCACATTTCACCGTATTTCACCAGCATCTATAATCCTAACAATGCCATCAAAAATACATAATGAAAAGTACGCCAACTGGCGTCCCTTCCTGAAAAGGCTTAAAAGAAAAAAAAAGAAAACACATGATCAAATATATAACGATGTAGGCGTTTCCATAGAAGAATTCACAGCTACTACAAACTACCTTCGTGCTCGGCTACCACTTGTACTTACCACACCAAAAGTAGCAATCATATGTGGTTCAGGACTTGGACAATTGGCTGATGTTATCGAAAATAAAGTGGAGTTCGATTATAAAGAAATACCTGGGTTCGTTTCCAGTACAGGTAAAGTTTTAATTCACTTTTTTAAAGTTTACCAAATATTTGCTCAAAAAAAATTTTTTTTTTTTTTAAGTGCAAGGCCATGCAGGAAAACTTATATTTGGCCTACTTGGTTATAAAAAAATACCAATAGTTTGCATGGCCGGAAGATTCCATTTTTATGAAGGGTATACACTTCAACAAGTTACATTCCCTGTAAGAATTTTTAAGATGCTAGGTGTGGAAGTATTAATCGGTAAGTCATTCATCAGTGTAGAGATTGTACCCGGCTATTAGTTTACTATCCGAAATGTATAATACCGGTTAGCCCCGTAATTTAATAATACTCAGATACAGGTTTTCTCAAGATCTATCATTTCACCGACAATCACTTTAAAGACACCACATTTACTAACACTCATTTCACCGGCAAGCTGATTTTACAGACGATTACAGCTATTATCATAATTTCAGGGACAACTAATAAAAATTGGCTGATGATTATTTAGCCGGGTTCTATAGGTTTTTTAACTCGGTGTTATCGGTTATTACCGTTACATATTAAATAGAATATTTGAGTGCTGCATATAGAAAACTTGTACGTAAAAAATAACGTTATTACTAATATATATATAATTTATAATATAATTTATATATGCCTTGAAAATCACCCTCCAACATTTCTGATCGGGTTAATTCGGACAAAACAAACCCGTATATTAGCTCAAGTTTATATTTGAATCCCTTTTTTGCTTTATTGATTCGAAACTTTGTTCTATAAACTATTGAACCATGAAGACAAAAGGGTTTACGTATAAACATGAACTAATACACGGCTTTAATTTTGTCCAAATTAGCCCGATCGGAAATGTCGGAAGGTGATTTTCAAGGCAAAGACCCCATATATTGTTGATAACATTAATTTTTACTTACAGGTTTTCTTTATGCGGCATTTATTTTCAAAGCATATTTATTGGCATATTATTGAAGTAACTTTGGAAAGCTTGCCAACTCGAATAATTTAGCGGTTTTGTAGATTAAATTCTTGAGGGATTTGGGAAGACACATTAAATCCAACTTACACGGAATTTTTTTATCTGCATAAACTAAATAAATTGAGTATACGTTCTCAATTATAGGTTTGGTTCCAACAGTAAATGATTTTATAAGCATTGAATCCATCTAGTTGATATAATAATGAAAAACTGTATTTCTTTAATGAGAGATAAATTATACTGGTCAATGTTTATAAAGAATTGTGTGCACAGGGACTTCAAACATATAAAAAATAATGTCATACTGAATATGCTAATGAATTTGTTTATTATAAATACATAATATACAAAAGAAATAAACACTATAAAATTATTTTACCGACAGTTCATTTCACAGACAAGTTTTTTTATATATTACACTAACCTTAACTCTAATTCTAAACCCAACTTTAACGACAATGTCTAGAATTATTTGGTCTGTGAAATAAACTGTCGGTGAAATATACTGTTTACGAAATGAACTTGTCTGTAAAACAAGCTTGTCGAGGAAATGAGTGTCGGTGTAATGTGGTGTCTTTGAATGATTATCGGCGAGTTGATCTAAATCGTTTTCTCAATGGGTACAATTTCAGAATCTGATCATTTAAGCACATTTCATCTACTTATTCAGACACCTTATTTATGATTCCAATTAGTTACAAACGCGAATGGAGCAATAAATAAAGACTTCAAAGTTGGCACGATAGGCGTAATAAATGATCATATTTCCCTTCCTGGTTTAGGGAACAATCCCTTATTCGGTCCGAATGTGTCTGCTTTTGGAACGAGATTTCCACCAATGTTCGATGCATATGATTATAATCTTCGTGAAATTGCATTCAAAGCTGCTGAGTCCCTGAAATTTCCTAAAGGAACTTTGAAAGAAGCTATATACACCTTTTACGCCGGACCTTCATTTGAGACCAGGGCTGAGGCAAGGTTCTTAAAATCATTGGGTGCTGATTTAGTAGGGATGTCCACTGTGCCTGAGGTTATTATGGCAAGGCATTGTGGAATTAGGGTATTGGGGTTGAGCTTGGTGACTTGTATGGTGAGCATTGCTAAAGTTAAATGCGCGGATCCTGCAGAGCAGAATTTAAATTATGTAGAGGAGCCACAAGTGAATCATGAGGAGGTACTTCAAGTTGGAAAAGAAAGAGCTTCGGATATGCAAAAACTGGTTGGAACTATTGTGGACTTAATTGCATTTAACTGATAATACGGCTCACCTAGTATCGCCACCAAGATCAGGTACGTAAATCCGGAGCTTAAATTTATTTGCTGAAATTAAAATTAATGAAATACAATAATGACGAAATTGATTAATAATACATAATAATAAAAATAAAAAATTTATGTTGGAATTTTTTCTTTAAATATTGCAATATTTTTCAAAATGGAAAATACGAATCAACTTTGTTCGTCTTGTCGAATTATAAAACCCAATATTGCATTTCAAAATAATAATAAAATTTGCATTGAATGTTCAAATTGTATAAATGAAACCAAAAAAAAGAAAACGTGAGGATCAAATTTTAAACGATATTTGCATGCAAAAAAAAAAAAAATGCTATAAAATCCGAAGAGCTTAAATATATATAAAGTTTATGAGAAACTTATGGAAATTGATGGAGATAGTAATATATATGGATCTTGATTAGGGCTGTTAAGTGGTCCGACTCAAACCGATGGACCGCCGGCCCTGTCTTTTTTGGGACGGACGGACCGAAAGGACCGTCGGTCCTAATGCTTACATATAACTGGAAAAACTAGTGATTGGCGCCGTAATCATGTGATGCTAATTGTCACGTGGTAAAATATATAAAAATCAACAATCTAATTGTTAATTTTTATATATTGTATCATGTGACAATTAGCATCACATGATTACGACGCCAATCACTAGGAAAAACTAAATTTCTTTTAGCTTAAATCAAGTGCATGCATAATTAAACTAAAATGTATAGAATATTCCAACTTCATATAGTGACTTTTTAATCACGATGCTAATTTAGTTAGATCTTTAATTAATTAACCAAAAAATAATAGTCTTAAACTAAATCATTACAATACAGTATTAATATGTTCGTAAGTTATTTGAGAAAAGCTACACTTTACTATCATATATTACTCCATTAGGTTAATTTTTAGAGGTTTAAACAATGATAAAAATTTAAAAATTTTAAATAGGGTTTTTCATATTTGATCTCTATTTTATTATAATAACTAGGTTTTTTAACAAGTGTTAGATATACAAATTTAATATATTTAATATATTTAATTAGAATTATTTTCTAAATAACTTACAGTACAAGTTCATTAAAAAGCATACAAAAATTATGTACATGATTCTCGAAATTTAAGTGTATTTCATCACTAATAATAATAGACAAATTTAAATATCCGATTATAGCTTTTATTTAATAAACAGTAATAAACTAATAATTTGAATGGAGTCTATAATAATAACAGGATAACAGGTAATAATACAATATATTGATACAACTTGTGTAGTATTTAATTAGTCTAATAATCGGTCCGTCTGGTTATTCGTATGTTTACCATAAAAAATATCATAACAAACAAGTAAAGACTACTTCGTTTAGCAATTGTCGCTGTGAGCTTGAAAAAAGGATGAAAAAAAATGATAATAAAAGTAAACAACGCAATAGGAGACCATGACATCTTGTTAATCCTCTTGGAAAGATTTTTCCGGAAGGTTAATTATTATTATTATATATATATATATATATATATATATTTAAAAATATTTTTTTAATTAGGTGCAACGAAATTCTCAATATCATTTATTACGGAAGCTAAGGAAATCATCAACCTTAATTAACCAAACACAAATCAATTTAACGATTGATCTTGTAAATACAGAAAACCAAAATATACATAATTAGGAATCGAGTACTGAAGATAGTGAATCCGAATCTGAAATTTTAAGAAAATATAATAAAACTCTTCATATTTCCGTATTTTTTATTAATTTTATGTTTTAGGCGCATGATTATCTTAAAAATTCTAACAATCTTCCCAAGCAAAAAAAATAGCAGTGATAATTAAGTAAATTCTTAATTTCTGATAAATAATACGAACAAATAAATGAATAATAAATAAGTAAAAAAAACTTCAATTATAATCTATTCTTTTGCTCAGTTTGAAATTTAAAAGCGATTACGTGCCTGATTTTGGTGGCGATACTAGGTGGGTCATTTCGCGACTATACAGTATTAAAAAATGAAAGTTCAAAATTTTAAATAGCATTATAAAATATCTAAAAGTAATTTTTTTGAGTATTTAAATAATATTTTTTAGTATTAGAGCTTGTAATTTTGATCAATATTTTGAAACCAGTAAATTATTGAGAAGAATTAGTGATTTATACTATTTTTCTTTTTGATGTCAGTGAATCTGGGTTAAAGTGCCTTTTTATACTTTTTTAATTATTTTATATTAAGTTCATAAGAATACATTTTATTTTCATACAACAAATTGTCAAATATTAATATTCGTACACTACTGATAAACGAACTAAAAAAAAAAGCAAAATTTTTGGTGACCCGACCAAATCATATATTTTTTTTTGCATGTCAGATTTTTATTATTACAAATATATGGGAAATATTACAATAATTTTTAAGCATAGCTGGGGTATTGCCTTTTAATAACAACCGAGTAGTTATTACGGTATTTTACAGTATACATACATTGAAATTTTTAAAAATTTAAGATGATTTCAGCAACTAAGAAAAAGTTTGATTTTAAAATTAATAAAATTAAAGCTGTTATAGCAAAATCTTTGACTGTATCATCTCGCCGAGTTGCCTGTGGAATAGATAAAGGAGTAAATCGAGATCGGATAACTGGTCTTCATCGTTTTTATCATAATTTGTATCAATATTTTCATGATTGTGGCTAACTTCATTGCTTTCTTCAGCTCCATTATTTGTTATTATTCTTCTAAATATAAAAATTTAAATTAAATATATAGTGATAATAAATATAAAAAATAAATATAAATGTTTGTGTCGAGTGGTACTACGTACAAGTTTCACAATTTTGATTCGCTGTGTTTATTCTCTGAGCGGTATATTCATGAAGCTTGGACATCTCTACAAAAGGTGCGGTTGATGATTCTTTTACCAGCACAAGCTTTCCATTGATAGCTTTTCAAATTTTTACAGGCGATGGATGAAAACAGTAAGCAGGGTTGTGAGCTTACATAGTCTAATGGGAAAAAGTCATTAGACAAATATATGTCTATTGATAGTTTTTTATATGTCTAATGGTGTCTAATGGCTGTCTATTCACAACCTTGCAGTAAGTTTAATGAAAATCGCTAGCTTTTATAAAGGAGTTATTTTTTTACTATTTTTTTCTTAATGATATATTTAAAAGAGAAAAGGATAATTTGAGTTTGGGGCGTGTTTTATCTTAATTGTCAGGAATGATGCTGAAATTTAAACTTATTTTAATATGAAATTTTAAAATTTTTTTATGGTTGGATTAGGATTTAGGGTTAGGGTTTATAATTAAAGATTATAGATGGGTTTTAGTAGAATTTATATTTTTAAATAGAGACCTAAATTTCAGCATCATCCCCGACTAAAAAATATCTTGGGTCACTGTGTATTAGTGAATTGATCCCAGACAGTGGTTTGGGATCAATCCACTAATACCCAACGACTCAAGATAATATTATTACTAAATCCTGGTGAGACAACATCGCACAGCTACTTATGATCCATATAACGCATTCAGAATTATATTTGTCACGAATTCACCCTCTTTACTTTAGATTTTTTTTGCACTTATTTTATTTACTATATTTGCCTTTTGATATTTTTTATTAAAATCATTTAATTGCATGATAAGTTATTTGGAAATATTATATTTATTATAGTATTATATACTTTAATTCTGATTTTATTTTAAAATTAACATTATATATACTGAAAATTCAAAGAAACCAACGCGGTATCCTTACAACAAATATTTACTAATGCACTTTACCTATAACATAAAATTTCTATCATTCCCAAGATCCAAAATTTAAAGTCAGCATGGTATTCTCGCGAGACGCATCTTTTAATGCCTTTTTTCCTTCTGGTCCAAATGAATTATATTCAAGGTTCAAATATTTCAGAGTATTGTTTTTGCAAAGAGCAATCGCTAATGCTTTTCCTTCTTCTGCTCCAAGATTATTATATCGAATATTCAGAGAAGTCAATGTGGTGTTCTTGCAAAGTCCATCTGCTAATGCTTTTCCTACTCCTACTCCTAATCCAAGCTTATTATGACTAATATACAAAGAGATCAAAGCAGTATTCTTGCAAAGTGCATATGAAATTGCTTTTCCGCCTTCTAACGCAAGATTATTATAATTAAGATTCAAAGAAGTTAACGTAATGTTCTTGCAAAGTGCATTTGCTAATGCTATTCCTTCTTCTGGTCCGAGATCGTTATAACTCATATCCAAAAAAATTAACGTAATGTTCTTGCAAAGCGCATCTGCGAATGCTTTTCCTCCTTCTGATCCAAGTTTATTTTTACTAATGTTCAAAGAGATCAAGGTAGTATTCCTGCAAAGTGCATCTGAAATTGCTTTTCCGCCTTCTGATTTAAGATTATTAGAATCAAGATTCAAAGAAGTTAATGTATCGTTCTTGCAAAGTGCATCTGCCAATGCTATTGCAGCTTCTGATCCAAGATTATTATCATAAAGATCCAAATCTTTAAGCGTGGTGTTCTTGCAAAGCGCATCTGCCAATGCTTTTCCACCTTCTATTCCCAAAAAATTATTCGCAAGATTTAAAGAAATCAGTGAGGTGTTATTGCAAAATGCACCTGCCAACGCTTTCCCCCCTTCTGGTCCAATATAACAACCAGCAAGATTCAAAGAAGTAAGTGTTGTGTTCTTGTAAAAAAACTTTGCCAACATCTTCTCTCCTTCAACACCGATTCTAGTACTACTAAAATCCAAAGAATTTAGGATGGTATTTTTATTAAGAGCCTCTAATAGTTTCTTCATTCCATCAGGCCCAAGTTTTGATTTAAGATACAACGAAGTCAAGGCAGAATTCTTATTAAGGATCTTTACTAATCCATCTATCGCCTTATATTTAAAATCATCCCTGATATTATATAATTCCATAGAGCTAATAGTAGTGTTCTCATAAACATTATCAAATATTATTTGATTGCAAATAATTTCATTAAGAGTTAAATATTTAAGATTCTTACTAGTTCGTAAAAGCATCGCAATCAAAGAATGCTCAACGACATTTTCAGGCTTACATACTGTTCCGTGTTTATTATCATTAAGCCAATCTTTAATTCCATCGTACAACTCATTGCTAACGGATGTGATATAAGTTGTATATTCAAATAATGGTTTTGGATGACTTGGAAGAGTAATTTTAAAAGGAACTAATAATGCTTGCTCCTCTGCATTTAAAGTTAAAAGTAGTATTTTTATAAGTTGTTTATCTTTAAAATGTTGCTTTGGTTCGCTCCACAATATTGGTATAATAATTCTACACCATTGACGGCTTACAAATGCACATTTAAATAAGTTTTTATGACTATGCCGAAGGTTAATAAATATTTCATAGTAACATTCATTCGGTAATGTTATCATATTGAAAAAGTGACCAAAAAATTTTAGGACGTTAAGCTGTATTTATACGTATTAAAATTACATTTTCGCAGCACTGCCGCATTTATCTATATTGTTAATCGTCAATGAACAATTAAATACGGCAATTGATGCAGAATTGTAGCACAGGGCACAAAATTTGGCGTGCTGTAACCTGTATTTTTTTTCTGTAAATGAAATTTGGAAATAATACAGTACAGTATATTTTATTTTATATTTCCAAATAATATAAAATGATGGCAAAGGTACCTTTATGAGATCTGATTGGTTGGATCTAAAATTATTTGTAGTTAGCATGAGTGAAATTTGTAATTTTGCATATAAAGCTAACTAAAAAGAATATAAAAATAATGTATGAAAAATCTTTACATATGCTTATACCCGTTTTGATTAAATACTGTAAAATTTTTATTTACTGGTATTTAAACTTATTTTTATTTATTTATTATAAATGATCCTGTCATGCCGAAAAACTTTGAAATATGATCAGATTATCGTTATGACGATTACCATTTTGTATGTAATTTCGATCGTTGGCGTGATTAATGTCGTAAAATGATCGTCAATCAATTGAATTAAACGACGTAATAAAACGGCTGCGCGCAAAATTCAGGAACGGATTTATATAAATTAAAATTTTATCAGCTTACTAGTTTTTAGGCACATTCATTTTTTTTTAATAGTTTTATAATATAAAATCTATTGTAGTGATGGCAATTTATGAATTTCTTCAATATTCCACAGGATAGAGATTCACAATATCCTTTGTATAATATATGAGAAGTAAAAAGTAGACCACAGTGGTGAACAAAGATGGAAGTCGTCATAATCAACTATCAAGCGTAACATGAAATTAGATAAGTTAATGCTAGAATAGAAAGGCTATATTATATATAAAACATTCTAACAGCTTTTTAACGTATTATGTATTAAAATTTTACGAAAAATTACTTAGCAATGAAAATAGAAGTATGTACTGACGCAGTTTTATTGTTTTTTTTTGGTTTTTTTTTAATTGATCAATGCCTTTTTTCTTTCTTATTTTGTGCTAGATTTTCAATATTATTACGTTTTATTGTTTTGTCTTCGTTAATATTTTCCATTACATGTATTTCAATCTGATGATAAGTTAGACACCTCTCAAATGTGAACTGCGTCACAGACAACAAAATTTTAATATATCATATAGATAAATATATGATTTGTCATTATACAGCATTATGATTATTACTGTATTAACGTTAATCATTTTAATATTAACAGACATTTAACGTTAACCGTGTCCAGAATTTTAACAAATGGTTACGAGCAAATAACCAAAGTAGATAAAAAACAGGATATGACTTGCGTTAAGTATAAATTATTTTAAATCGAGAAAAACCATGCCGTGATACACCCTAATAGGCAAAATAGAAAAAACGATATATAACTTGTATTTATCATATTTTTATCAATCGATTTTAAGCCACCTTCGCTTTTTTTTTTAGAAAATTATATACTAATTGACAAAGTAGGAAATAAACCAAGCAAAAAATGAGGCATAAACAACTGAACAGTAAATGCTGAAATGGTCTGCATCTATTGCACTGATCATACAAATGTCATATGGAAGTAGGAGAACGTCCTTAGGTACGTAATAATACACTTCGCTACGGCTATAGCAAAGCATCCGGTGTACATGTTATTTGAAAAATCTGCCGATGGTTATCATCGACCAATTTAGAAAATTAAGACCGATAATTTAATCGAATATTTACTTACACGAATTGACCAAAATTCAACATATATGGGAATCCACAGCATTCACCATAAACG